ACCACCAAAGTCTCCGCCGAAAACCAACTATGAGCGCATTACTGAAAAGGCATATCTCAAAGCGGAGCGGTCGGAAGTACTGTCAGACATCAAAGGTCAAAAGAACGAGCAGCTGCGAAAAAAATTGCACAGCTCGGCGAACAAGCAAATCAATCGTGCCCCCCGCTCAATGTGTCTAGCGGCGACATCGTCGCTAATGCTCCGGGGACGGTGCCTGGTTATAGCAATCTTGCAGATTACCTGCCTGAGGATGTAATTTTGATTTCATGGAGGTGGTCAAACACAGATACGAGTACGGGAAGCCTCTCGTCAAAGATGAAAAATCTCTAACAATGATGATGTGAAGATTCCATAATTGGTACATGAAAACCTGCAGAGAGTCTGGGGGGACGAATACTTTGTATCTGAGTATTAAAGAGGAGCACGACCTCGTTGGAACTGATCTGTTGCCTGTTCCATTTGAGGAGTTCTTCAAGTTCTTCAATCAAAAGGCCCTCGATAAATTAACGGTCTTTTGCTACTGTCTGTAAGTATTATTTCTGTCATTAAGTCTCTATATATAGCTCAGCTCTTTCATTGCATGTATTTATAATTAATTATCCTTACTATATTATGCAGATTGAAGATCGTCGAGTGCAGAAAACAAGAAATGTATGATATTGGGTTCATTAACACAAATATCATAGATGAAATTCAGGTTAAAAAGCACGCCAAAGAGGCCGAGGCCAACTTGCTACAATCGTTGATTAAAAATCAAAACAAAGATACCATACTCTTTCCTTACAACTTCGAGTGAGTGTTACTGTCGTGTGCATATTCGGTTTCCTTTATTACTCGAGCGAGGTTATTGTAATGTAATTGATGAGTTATGCATGCGTGCGCAGCTTTCACTATGTTCTTCTGGAGTTTAAGCTTGAGCGGGGACTAGTAACCGTCTTAGACTCGAGACGAAAAGATCCCGAAACCTATGCGGACATGACTAAAATGCTCAATAAGTAAGTTCAATCGATCATTATCGCACCATATCGGCAACCTTTTGTTCATTTCCTGATATCTCAAGTAATAATAATTATTTTCTTTGTCTTGCAGGGTTTGGAAACAGTTCACCGCAGAAGCTCCGGGACTGCCGAAGGAGCCGCGATATACATACCCGAAAGTAAGTACTACTAGCTAGCTAGTTGCGCGCATCTCCCGTTGATTCTATAGCTATACTTTCATCAATGCCATTTATAATGCTTCATTATCAGTTTGATTGACCTCTATTTCTCGTAAAGTGCTTGTGACAGGAACAAGGGAATAATTATTGTGGATACTACGAGTGCGAGTTCATCTACAACGCGACTTTGAAAATAAGCGGGGCTATTCTAAAAGACAATATGAAGTGCGTAAGCAATAATATTCATATTTTCATTTTATTACACCATCATTTCTGTTGAGTTTCATTCATATATATGTATTAACCCCCTTCTTCAAATTAGACGTGGCAGATGCGGAATGAACTCCTACCAGAAGATCGCATGAAAGCAATTCAAGAGAAATTGGCGGGATTCTTTCTTGACCACGTCATCAATAAAGCCGGAGAATACCATGTGGAAGTTGATTTCAATTGCTAGGGGATTGTAAGAGATCTTACATATTGTATATGTATGTAGCCAATAGCGTCGGATAGATAATACGAAAACTTGTTGTTCGACCAATCGCTCGGAGAAGGAGAGGTCGGTCGATCAGTTCTCTCGGTATGCATGACGAACTTCTGTACTTAATGGTTTCCTTCATTTTCTTACTAGCTAGCGTGTCGAGGGCCTCTCTATGTATAGTACGTAGTGTCGACCAAGCATGGACATAAGAGAGGACACTTCTCTCTATTAATTAGCTAGCTAACACAATATATAAAACACCTAAATTAACCCCAAAAACCCCCAACCCCCCCCCCCTTTCAAAACAAAAAACAAAAACCACAGCCCCTGAAATGCTGACGCGTGGATGCCTATTGGTCCCGGTTGGTGCCACCAACCAGGACCAAAGGCCCTCCTGCGTGGACTCGGCGCACCGGCCACGTGGAGGCCCATCTGTCCGGGTTCTGGACTGAACCGAGACTAAAGGGCCAGGGCATTAGTAACGACCCTTTAGTCCCGGTTCAGGAACCAGGACAAAAGGCCCTTACCAACCGGGACTAATGGTGGTTTATCTACTAGTGGCTATGCCTAAGCGAGTAAAAAGAAAAAAAATCCAAAGCGACCAAACCTGCGATCAACATACTACAACAATGACCATATCCGCACCAACCATCTCATGACACCACAAGGACGACGAGGTTCTTCAACAGCAACGCCTTCAACAAGGTAGCGACGCTCGAGCGCCATCATCACCGGATCCAACCACAAAGGCCAGAGTCTAGGTTTTCACCCTGAAGAACCAATCCGAACATATCTGAGCAGTGCCTTCAACAAGGTAACGACGCTAAAACATCTTCATTTCCAGGTATGACCAATGGGTCAGACCTAGGTTTTCACCCCGGAGCTCGAGACCGGGTACTCGACAGCATCACCATCGGAGTCAATCATGTGTTGTCGCCACCACTTTTCCTCAATCCTAGCAGCTGCAAGACATCGGGAAAAACCAACTAATGCCACTACACAACCATTCCTCTGCATCAAGCCATCGTCCATAGATTGCATCTCATTACCAAAGCCAAACACCGAATCTCAAGAGTATAACCCTCATAAGACCTTTCGGTGATCATCGCAATTCGCATTGGGCGACATGCAAGCCTGAGTGGTCATTCAGACCAACACTAATGGCAGAGCACCTCACCGCTGACTGCCACCGCCACGAAGAGAACCCAGCCCAGGCCATCAGTATATGGACCGACATGGCCGGATCAGAGCATGAAAGGCAGATCAGACCGCTGGCCAAGAACCAGAGCACCGCAACACCAATGATCCCTGGCCCATCTCCATTGAAACATCCATCGGCAACGCCCAACTCCTAGTGGCGAGTAGCCGTCTGAGCCGAAGCCTTGGAGCGTAGCCGGTGCCTTGGCTTCCTGGGAGTCCCGATCCAGATGGAAGGTTCCCCCGCTGCCAGGGAATCCCGATCCAGATCGAATGCGATCTGGGCTGCCTGGGACGATGGAGAAGCAGGAAAAAAACAAGACGAGCGTGCACCGCCGCCGTCGTCCGCCGGTGGCAACATCCTCCGGCGGCGGCGAGTCAAGGTGGAGTTTCTTGGCGGCGGCGTTGGGCGCCTCTGGAGTCACCTAGCGACCCGGGAGGCCGTTTCCCAGGGAGTGCGTGGCATGCGGCCTGATTTATTTACCACTCATACATGTCAAACAAGCTTTCACAGAAAAAAACAGAAAATAGTTTCTAACATTTCCATAAATTCTACGTTGAAGAGACCTTCCCACAAAATAAAACTGAATGAACCAAGAGAATGAAATACTAATAGGCAAAAGTGGGGCATTTTTCTTTTTTTAGAGGAACATCGGTCATTTTCTTTTATGTCCCGAATCGAGAAAGTGCACAGGTGCTTCTGGTGCTATCGGTGCACCGGACGCATTAGCACATTTTAGAATATTTTTAAAAAATTAGTACTCCATTCCATAATATAAGAGCGTTTTTTGATACTACTGTAGCGTGAAAAACGCTCTTATATTATGAGACGAAGGGAGTAAAAGAAATCTAGCACATTGGCATAATATAAATGTATGTTGACACAAAAATTCGTATCAAAATTCTAAACATTGCTCGAGATACAAAAACAACAAATTTGGCATCAACGTGATAATGGGTCAAATCTAAAGCCCAACTTGTGTTATATATTATTTAGTGTTGAATTTGTCATTTTTGCATCTCAATGTATGTTTTGAATTTTGATACAAAAATTTGTGACAACATACACTAAGTGTTAGAGTTTTTTTCCAGATTTTTTGAAACATTTAAAATTTTGCCAAGGAAGTTTGATGCACCTGTAGCACTGAATGGCCCGTTGCACCAGATACGTTCTCGTCTCGAACCTCCCTCCTCATTTTGCTGGACATGCAGACGTAGGCGACTACATCACATAGAGTTTGAAGAGTCCGTCGAGCTCCTCCCTTCGCCGCCCCGACCTCCTCCCTCCGCTGCACCTGTGATTCTCAAGTGATGAGCTCATTCGCCAACCTCATACGACTCATCCCCCCTATCCCTGAGCTCCACACCTCCGCCGACTTTCGGGATCGACTCTCTGTCCGCCCCCGCGCTTCTCCCGTGCCCTCCGAACTCCTGGTCACCTTCCTACCCAAGGCCTAGGCCCTCGACCTCGACTCGCCCCGTCAACTCCTCCTTCAAGCAGCAAGCTAGTTTGCCTGAACATTTTTCCTAAAAAACGTAATAATCTGAAACATCACCATTCTTATGTTTGGGAGTGAATACAGTAAATCTTTGTACTTGCTAAATTTTATCTTCTTTTTTTGCGGGTGAAATTTTATCTTTTTGTACAGAAGAAGAAGACTACTCTCTCTGTAAATTAATATAAGAGCGTTTAGATCACTAAAATAGTAATCTAAACGCTCTTATATTAGTTTATGGAGGGAGTACAAATCAACGAATTCCAGTTTCGTGCCGCGCACTGAATTTGTTTTTTTTAATAGGAAAGGTCACAGAATTTGAATGAGTAGTGCGTGACCGCCAAGTACCCTCTCCTAGGTTTACCGTGGTATCCAAGTTTTTAGACCCATCTGCAGCCGTCCGTTCCCCTGAACTGCCTACAATCGACGGTGCGCAAACAACTGACCTCTCTCCCAGAACCTTCCAGACCACACGAGTGCACGAGCGCGTTCAGGAACCTTCCCGAACCGCCTCCCAACCGTCATCGTCCACCTCCACCGTCCACGCCCTCTATATATGCGTCCCCACCAAACCCAATGGCACGAGAAATGAGAAAGACAGAGGCGAGGAGAAGAAAAAAATCTACAGGAAAAACAGGGGAGAGGCAGAGAGAACAGAAGCGAAGGAGCAATGCCGACGGGCAGGATGAGCGGCAACATCACGCAGGACTGGGAGCCGGTGGTGCTGCGGCGGGCGAAGCCCAAGGCGGCCGACCTCAAGTCCGCCAAGGCGGTGAACCAGGCGCTGCGGACGGGCGCGCCGGTGGAGACGGTGCGCAAGGCGGCGGCGGGGACGAACAAGAATGCCTCCGCCGCGGCCGTGGCGGCGCCCGCGCGGAAGCTGGACGAGATGACGGAGCCTGCGGGGCTGGGGCGCGTGGGCGGCGACGTGCGCGCGGCCATCCAGAAGGCGCGCGTGGCGAAAGGATGGAGCCAGGCGGAGCTGGCCAAGCGCATCAACGAGCGGGCGCAGGTGGTGCAGGAGTACGAGAGCGGCAAGGCCGTCCCCGTCCAGGCCGTGCTCGCCAAGATGGAGCGCGCCCTCGAGGTCAAGCTCCGCGGCAAGGCGGTTGGGGCGCCCGCGCCCGCCGGGACAAAGTGATGGTCCGTGGGGACATATCCTTTCCTGTGAATTTGTGATGAATGGTAGTAAATCAGATCTGTAAATCTCGGGTTGCTTTGTGGTGGATTGGGTTGTAAGTCGTGCAAAGTGATAAATCTCATGTGAAATTTGATGTCAAATCCTAAATCCTATTGTGAGCTGATTTGCAATTTTCGACCGGCCCTTTGTCAAATTCTGACATATTGCTGAGAATGTGCAGCCGATTTGAGTTATCTTCTTGTACGTCCGCTCTCACGATTCCTTCTTCTATTCTGATCTTTACTCGAAAGATATTCAAGTGAACCAGGGTACGGGACTAGGGCATCTCGACTGAGAGTCAACCATCAGTCCCATTAATCTATGAACACTAATACCGCATCTTTAAACTCAATTGTCAGGGCCAAAAATTCAAATGCATAGCGACCGGTAATTTAAAATTCAAATGTATACTGTCCGGCGCCGGATCACAAAAAATATTTTACGGAAAAACTAATGCCCACATGGGTGGGCGTTTGCAGATCGTTCACATGCCTTCATCACCACACATTTTGCCACGTATGAATAGATGACATCAGCTGAAATCTTTTTGGTTTTCGTCTTAAAAATGTTTTATCTCCTAAATAAAAAAATGAATTAAAAATCCGTTTTCACCATTAAATCCGTCTCGACGAGATCTTCAAAACTAGATCCCATGTTGATATGTTTCGACGATTTTTTTTCCGAGAAGTTGCCATGATATTTACACTATAGTTGTCATAGTGCTTAAACTAAAGTTGCCATGTGGCAATTTTAGTTTATAGATCAAGGCAATTTTAGTTTTTTGATAATGCTAATTTCAGTACTTTGATCATTAAAATATTTTTTTATTGAACCATGGCAATTTTAAGTGCATGTATCATGACAATTTTAGTTTATGGTGCATGGCAAGTCTAGTTTCTTAATTCTTCGTTTTATAATATGTTAAAATTTATTTTTAAATGTAAAAGAAAATAGTTAAAACATATCATAGCAACTTCAGTGTAAATATCATGGCAATTCATGTGGCAACTTTTAACAAAAAAAAGTTCGCTGAAATATATCGATATGAGATCTAGTTTTGAAGATCTCGTCGCGAGGGATTTAACGATGAAAACGGATCTTCAATCGGATTTTTCATTTAAGAGATAAAATATTTTAAAAACTGAAAATCCGAAAAGGTTCTCGCATGCATGCATGCGATGACGTGACAATTTATTTGCATTAAAAACGTGTGGTGCGTCTTCTTTCCTGCCACACGTGTGACAGTCATCGACATCCTAAGTTTAACAGTGTAAAAAAAACTGAATTCTGCCCTGCCGGACGAGCCTATGTGCTCACTCTGCGGCCGTCTCCAATTGATTTTTTTCAAGTGCTTGAACATCATAGGGTTTAGAAGACGGCGGCTTGCACTTTCATCCTTGTATTGTATCGTCATTTAGCTCCTTCATCTTCAAGGTCAATACTTTTGGAAAGCTTAACATATGTCTTCCTTTTCTCCGTGAGGATGTCATCGAACCTCTTTGTTATCTTGGTCGCCGTCCCTTCTAGCTTCACCTTTTTTTTCCTCCCATTACTCTTTCCGAAACCCCTTTCTAACCTTCTTGGGAGGCTCCTTTGTTGGATTGGTTTGGATCACCCATTTCTGTCGATGCCGGTGGTCTTGCCGGAGTTGACAATGAATACATTTCACTTGGTTGTCCGCTCAATTTCAACCAACAATGCATGAGGACGTAGTTTTTCTTCTTCCCCTTCTCCGTGAGGATGCCGGACGCCGTTGGATGGCTTACGGGGCGAAAAAAAAGACAAATATGCATTTTCAAATGGGCTTATTTTTTTCTGTTATTGAGCCGAAATTTGTTATTTTGTATAGCTTAGAAGTTACATTTCTTTTCAAAATAAAATTTCATGGATTCATATTGAATAAATACAAGTTTCCATAGATTTTTTTTGAATTTTTTCAAAACTTTTAAATATGTTTTTTGATTTTTTTTCAGAAAAAAAGGGCACCAAGGTGCCCGAGCACTACAACTTCGCACTCTCAAGTTGAGATCCTATGCAAAGCACATATAAATAGGACGTGGGGGAGAGAATGATTCCCTAACAGCCTTAGCACCTAATTAAAAATAATTTGTTATTTTATTTTTGCATAATGCTCATTGCATCTGTATTATATTTCATTTCATTAAGGATTAATTCAAATATTTTATTAAAACCCCAAGACCTATTTTGTTTTGCCATTTTATGAAACGACACATAAGTAAACCATTCTCTCTTTTGGTGTCTTAGCTGGAGATTCACCTCCACACTTTCATATGGCCTTTTTGTGATATTTGGGATCCAAATTATTTCACAATATTAGCCTAAGCCTACTTATCACTCGTAGCTATTTAATAAATGGATTTCAGTTGAAATATGTCTGGAATGAATGAATCTCGTCATGTTTATATGAAATCCGCGTGTTTGCACGAATTTGGTCTGGATGGTTGAAAGAGTTGTTGAAATATATATGAGCATCGTTGGATGGCGGTCTCCGGCATCAGTCTCCACGGACTGGTCCACCTAGCCGAACATGGAACATAGCGGGTAAGAACAGGAGCCAGGCAACCCAGCCCCAACCCGACGATCAAATTCTTGGTGGGAATCATCAACTTTATAATGTTTTAATAACGGCTCACGCTTGGCCAAAATCTTAAGTCAAATTGATGCATATTTATGGCTTTATAACGATGATTATGGAAGGCAATGCTCGTATATTGAATACAAACATGGATGATATGTTGGGCTCTCCAGGAGTCTCGATGTAACCGTGCTGAGGTGCCTCAAGGATCCCTTGGTATGGTTTATTGGAATCTTTTATAGTTCCAAAGTGTTTTGTACCAAAAACTCGAGGTTAGAATTGCGCAGTTTCTTTTAAAGACCGCCAAACTGCTTTTCTATTAGTGACCTCGGACAAACCGATCACCTTGAATGCAGACTTTGTGACTTATCAAAAGGTCCTTTGTTTTACACAGGCAACCTTTATGGTTAATATTACTAATCGGCCGATCAATTTGCATATGTTGTGATAGTTAGCTTTAAGCTATATTTGCAGCTTTACGTTGTATGTTATTTTGAATCCATTATGACTGTTTATAATCTGAAAATGGCTCATCATCGGCTTCCACCCCTTTGTGGATTCTATGCAGGGTGTTTCCGTACTGAAAAGACAACTCTTAGCTGACGTCTCGGTGCCCGGAGGCGGTTGTGTTAGTGGAAATGAGGCAATTAGATATTCAGGCTTTATAATTTTCACTTAGTCATAGGAGCTTTAAGTTGGGAGGCAAGTTACTAGCCCCCGACTAGTGTTCGGCGTCAACCGAGGTCAAGCCACTAACAATTCGGCCAATTTTATGAAATGTCCATCGTTTAACATGGGGTACTCTCTATCGACCTACAGTTTGACACAGTCAACAGATTCCTAACCAGTTTACGCTCATTGTGACACTCAGTTTTTGGCTTTGTCCACTGAGGTATTTGACCAGTTAAAACGGAAGTACAATCGGAGTGGTTCTCCCTTTACCCTTCGCTGAACAATCGGGAACGTAAGGAGAAAGCACATCAGCCGGGCAAGTCAACTATGGACCAAAATACAATTCAAAACCGATGCATATAAAGTAGTATCCGAGAACATTTTACTGAGGACTCCATGGAGTACCTTGGCTTTTGGTGGGTTCGGCTCTAGTCGCAGCCCCCCGTTAATATTTTCGATGCTTTAAAGGCGCTAGTTGATGTGCTCGATTTTGATGATGCGATTTGGGCTTGTGGCGGGATGAGGACGCCTATGGAATTTTTACATATCCGACATGATGCATGGTCCTCGGGTTGACCGAGGTTCCAGCCCTCAAGCCCATCCCAAGGTGACTGAGTGAGGAGCTCGACACTTTTGGTGGACGGAAGCGGGACATCAGCGTCGGTACACCGAGGTGACAACACAGCCCCACCCAAATCATTTACCCGCACATATAAAATAGTGCAAGCCAAAGGTAAAAATAATAAATTAAAAAAAATCTCTGCATAGTTAATTTATGCAAAGTGAATAATAATAAAAATATGGCCCACACGCCGAAGATCCGACGAGGTAGAGTCCTCTGGGAAGTTCGATCAGTTTGTTGTTTCCTGTGGGACAAAAGTTCGTTGAAATAGAACCTTGATATGTCTCCAACGTATCTATAATTTTTAATTTTTTTCATGTTGTTATATTATCATTCTTTGATGTTTTATAATCATTTCTAGCAACTTTATATCATTTTTTGAGACTAACCTATTGACATAGTGCCAATGCCAGTTGCTGTTTTTTGCTTATTTTTTACTTCGCAGAAAAGCAATATCAAACGGAGTCCAAATGCCACAAAACTTTTTGCAGATTTTTTGTGCCCAGAAGATGCCCAGGAGGCCCAAAATGTGCACCAGAGGGGCCCTGTGGGGCCCACTAGGCACCAGGGCGCGCCAGAGGCCCCTAGCACGCCCTGGTTGGTAGTGGGGCCCATGGTGACCTTTTCCACCGCCTCTCAGCTCTATAAATACTCCAATATTCCAGAAACCCTAGGGGAGTCGACAAAAAATTGTTTCAGCCACCACGAGATCCAATCAAGAGCTCTATTCCGGCACTCTGCCGGAGGGGAACACGATCGCGAAGGGGTTCATCATCCTCGTTGGTGCTCCTCGATGATGCGTTAGTAGTTTACCTCAGACCTACAGGTCCGTAGTTAGTAGCTAGATGGCTTCTTCTCTCTTTCTGATCTTCAATACAATGTTCTCTTCAGAGGTCTATTCGATGTAATTCTTTTTGCAGTGTATTTGTTAAGATCCGATGAATTGTGAGTTTATGATCAGATCTATCCATACATGATTATTATAGCCTCGTATTTTTTCTCTAATATTTTGGTTTTGTTTGGCCAACTTGATTGATTTATTGGAATGGGAAGAGGTGCTTTGTGACGGGT